TTTAAAAAATTTTTTTCTTTATTGATTAAGGCATTACATATGTGTCCTTATCCCCCATTGCCCCCCACCCTCCCCTCATGCCCTCACCCCCCTAGTGTCTATGTCGTTTGACAGTCTGATTGATGCTTCTCTGTCTCTGGATCTGTTTTTGTTCATCAGTTTATGTTGTTCATTATATTCCACAAATGAGTGATATCATGTGATATTTTTCTCCTACTGATTTCGCTTAGCATGATGCTCTCCAGGTCCATCCATGTTGTTACAAATGGTAGGAGTTCCTTCTTTTTTACATCAGTGTAGTATTCCATTGTGTAGAGGTACCACAGTTTTCTAATCCACTCATCTGCTGATGGGCACTTAGGCTGTTTCCAAATCTTAGCTATTGTAAATTCTGCTGCTATGAACATAGGGGGGCATATATCCTTTCTGATTAGTGTTTCTAGTTTCTTGGGATATATTCCTAGAAGTGGGATCACTGGGTCAAATAGGAGTTCCGTTTTTAGTTTTTTGAGGAAACTCCATACTGTTCTCCACAGTGGCTGCACCAGTCTGCATTCCCACCAGCAGTGCAGGAGGGTTCCTTTTTCTCCGCATCCTCGCCAGTTAAGCTGCATTTAAATGGATTGTAGAGTGTTCTACATTCATCTGTATGACATACATATTGAGGCCCATGACTATATGGCTCACTCCAGTATTCTAATACATTTGTGCCACTAACTTAAAGATAACTAACCAACTACCACTCCTGTAATAGTGGGTACACTTTTAATTCCTTGAGTTTTATTACAGTAATTGGTAAAAAATCTTTTAAGTTTCAATTGAGGACTAAAAAAAAAAAGTTCATCTCTTTCGGTTGTAAAATCTCCAAGATACTCTCTTTGTTTGGAAGGTACTGATATAGTTAATGTGACAATCTTTTCTGGCTTGGTTTCTGTTTTCTTGAGTGGGCTTGAATGATAAAGCCTCTGACGGTAACTCAGAAGTTTTGAATTGGTTTAGGGCAAGGATGGTAAATGAATTTTCATCATAAATGGAAACTCCAAATGATTACTAATGGTTTGCTTGTTTGCAGTCCATATCTCTTCACATGCATTTTAAGACCTCTTCAACAGTATAGTTCAATTCTCCCTTCTATCTTTTCTGCTATTTGTGCTAGATCTTCTATTTCCACTTATATTATAAACCACATAATACATTTTTATTATTTTTGTTTTAAATTATCTTTTTATTCATGCACTTTTAATGAGATTATTGCCATTGTGTACATTTTACTTAACTAATTTTTACATTAAGTCAGTGTCTGTCGTGTAGCCATCAAAACTCTGTAATCCAATTTAGACACTGGCTCCTTAAAATCAGCCACTTCTTATTGCTTTCCTGAAGCCTTTCTACACGACAAACTCATAATTATCATGCATTGTAAATATACCTTCTGCAGGGCAAACATTTCTCAGGTCTGCTCCATTAAAGCTATCTGGAAACATCATATTTGCTACTAATAATTTATTATATTATGCTTTGTAATGGTATCTCCATGGATTGTCAATATATATAATCTTGCATATAAATAATTTTTTCTTATTTACCTGGAGATAGCAAAATAGAATCCACTGTACTTGTTTGTAGCTGTAATTTTAACTTTATGCACAGTATTATATCATCTATTTCATTTAGTAACTCCGTTAAAGTCCTCTGAATCAGCTGAAGTACTATAAAAAAACCAACATCATCAATGGCATTGATTTATCCATAAAAAATTATGCATGGTTGATGATCCCTTTATAATTAAATATTTCTCTAATCAAATAAGCACTTTCCCCCTTGCACTTGTCTGCAATGGAACTAGAAACAACGTTTAAGAAATTGCAGTCCAGCCTGGCCGACATGGTTCAGTGGTTGAGCATTGACCTATGAACCAAGAGGTCATGGTTCAATTCCTGGTCAGAGCACATGCCTAGGTTGTGGGCTTGATCCCCAGTGTGGACGTGCAGGAGGCAGCCGATCAATGATTCTCACCATTGATGTTTCTATCTCTCTCTTCGTCTCCCTCTCTGAAATAAATAAAAATATATTTTAAAAAAGAAATAAATTGCAGTCTAGTTGGATAACAATAGCTCTTTTTATTAGTGTTTTTCCTATAACTGGTGGTCCACATAATAACAGCCTTTTAGAATTATTATTCCTACACTGGAATAATTCTAGGTTTGTCAGAGATAGTTCTATTACCTCTCTTAATTCTCTGATCTGTTCTGATAATCCGCAGTCTTAGAAAAAAGAAATATTCCCTGTGTCTTTATGAGACATGCTATAAACGAGTGGATCTTAACAAATATCTTTGTAATCATTTCAAAGCAATTCTTGTTCCTGGCTTCAGGTTACTTTTTCAAGGTGAATATATAGATTTAACAATGTAATTTTCTCCCATTAATTCCTTAAGTACTTCACCCGCAATCTGCCCAGATTTGGTGATTGTAGAGCTGGCCTTGATTGTTCCCTTAGCTGTTTAAAACAGTTGTTGATCTTGTGCTACAAGCATTTTGTTTTATGATAGTCTTGAAGCTCATTATCTCTATGATCTGCAATGATGAGATGCTATCACTCATAGGGGATACCAAGAATGACGATGGCATATATGACAAACCCACTGCTAATATTATACTCAATGGGGAAAACTAAAAGCATTTCTCTTAAGATAAGGAACAAGACAGGATGTTCACTATCACCACTCTTATTTAACATAGTACTGGAAGTCCTAGCCACAGCAGACAAAACAAAAACAAACAAACAAAAAAAACAAAAAACAAAAACAAAACAGAAATAAAAGGCATCCAAATTGGAAAGGAAGAAATAAAACTCTCATTATTTGCAGATAACATAATACTGTATATAAATAACCCTAAAGATTCCATTAAAAAATTATTAGAGTTGGTAAATGAATTCCGGAAAGCAGCAGAATATAAAATTAATACTCAGAAATCAGTTGCATTTTATATGCCATTAATGAACTCTCAGAAAGGGAAACTTTAAAAATTTCATTTATAATTGCATTAAAAAATACTACCTCAGAATAAATTTAACCAATGATGTAAAAGACCTACACTCAGAAAATTATAAGGCACTAAAGAAAAAAAACTGAAGAAAATACAAATAAGTGGAAGCATATACTGTGTTCATTGATAGGTAGAATTAACATCATTAAAATGTCCACACTACCCACAGCAACCTATAGATTCAGTGTAATTCTTATCAAAATGCCAATGCTGTTTTTCACTGAACTAGAACAAATAATCCAAAAATGTATATGGGACCACACAAAAAGCCCAAATAACATCCACAATATTGAGAAAGAAGAACAAAGTTGGAGGTATCACACTAGCTGATATCAAATTATATTAGAAGTCCAAAGTAATCAAAACAGCATGGTACTGGCATAAAAACAGACATATAGATCAATGGAACAGAATAGAGAACCCAGAAATAAATCCATACCTTTATGGCCAATTAATATTTGACAAAGGGGGCAAGAACATACAATGGGATAAAGACAGTCTATTCAATAAATGGTGCTGGGAAAATGAAACAGATACTAGCAAAAAAAAAAAAAAGAAACTAGATCAATTTATATAAAAGAATAAACTCAAAATGGATTAAAGACTTAACTGTCAGATTGAAATCATGAAAATCCTAGAAAAAAACATAGGCAGTATAATCTCTGACATTTCTCAACATTTTTTCTAATATATCTTCTCAGGCAAGGGAAAAAATAAACAAATGGAATTAAATCAACTAAAAAGTTTTTGCACAACAAAGGAAACCCATCAAAATGAAGAGATAATCTATTGAATGAGAGAACATATTTGTCAATGATACATCTGATAAGGGGTTAATATTCAAAATTACAAGAACTCAGACAACTAACACCAGAAAAACAACCCAACTATAAAGTGGTCAGAAGACCTGAATAGACACTTCTCCAAGGAAGACATATAGATGACCAATAGACATAGGAAAGGTTGCTCAATATCACTAATTGTCAGAAAAATGCAAATCAAAATCAAAATGAGATATCAACTCACAACTGTCAGAATGGCTATCATCAATAAATCAACAAACAAGTGTTGGAGAGGATGTGGAGAAAAGGGAACCCTTGTGCACTGTTGGTGAGAATGCAGATCAGTGCAGCCACTTAGAAACAGTATGGAGTTTCCTCAAAAAATTAAAAATGAAACTACCTTATAACCCAGTGATTCCACTTCTCGGGATTTATCCAAAGAAACCCAAAATACAAATTTTAAAGAATATATACACACCCATGTTCATTTCTGCATTATTTACAATAGCCAAGATACAGAAGCAACTTAAGTGCCCATCAATAGGCAGGCAGAGACAGTTAGGGGCGATCAGGCAGGCAGGCAGAGAGGTTAGGGGCAACCAGGCAGGTAAGCAGAGGCAGTTAGGGGTGATCAGGCAGGCAGGCAGAGAAGTTAGGGGCGATCAGGCAGGCAGGCAGAGGCAGTTAGGGACGATCAGGCAGGCAGGCAGGTGAGCGGTTAGGAGCCAGCAGTCCCAGATTGCGAGAGGGATGTCTGATTGGAGAGAGTGCAGGCTGGGCTAAGGGACCCCCCACCCCATGCACGAAATTCATGCACTGGGCCACTAGTATTTTATATAAAAGTCTTTACTTTGAAGGGTATTTTTATTTTGGATATTTTATATAATTCCAAGTTAATAGTTTTTAATGCACCTTGGTGTGACTGTATTGTGTTCCTTCTACTTAGGGCTCACAATCTTCTTGAATTTGTGTGTTTATTATTTGGAATTTAGAAAAATTTCACTCTTTCTTCAAAATTTTAAATTCTCCTGTTTATTCTGGAGCTCCATTACACAGATTATACTGCCTGATAGTATCCCCCAGGTCAGTGATAGTCTGGTTGTTTGCTTGTGTTTTCTCTTCATGCTTCAGTTCAGATAGCTTCTATTGGAACCATTATAAGACTCACCTCATTTGTTTCCCTTCTCTTGGGGAAGCACAGTTATGTCTGTTATCCAATATCTGAATTTAGGTGTTTTGTTTCGTTCTCCACTTCCTTACAGAGAAAGGGCAAACCTGGTTCAAGTTACTCCATATGGCCAGAAGCAGACGCTTCAGCTTAATCTTTAAGGAAAGAATAATCAAATCAGACATAGGCATACCATCAGATTACCATTCTTAGATGGCAATTTGACTTCAAATTTCAGTGAGAAAGTAGAGTTAATCAGAGAAAAATGCTCTCATGCTTCTACCACCAAATCTATAAACCTACCTGTATTTACTCCATTTTACCATCTTCCCCCTAGTTGTAAAAGTGTCCGTGATCTATTAAAGAGATATTTTTCTCTTGTGCTCTGGATTGCATTCAAAATTTCACTCCTTTTATAATTCTCTCCCCAATATCATCAGTCACTCTCTTTCTCTATGACTCAAGCATCTCCATATAAAAGTGGTTTAAGATCTCCCAACTAAAAAACTTCACACCCACATGAAGTTTCACCTTATTCTCCTGCTTTCCTTCAGGGCAAAACTTCTCAAAACAGTTGTCTACATTTACTGTCTCCACTTCTTTACCAATCTCATAACTTCTTCAACCGGATAGAGTCTGGAAGCTTATCCCTTGAACTTACCCATCAGTTCACAGTGCTCCTATTACTTGGTCCTTCAGTAAATACATTCAACAGAGTTGACCACTTTCTTCTACTTAAAGCACATTGTTCTCTTGCTTTCATGAAACCACACTCTCTCACTTCACTGACCATTCTTTGCTTCCTCATCCTTAATCGATTGTCTCAGGTTCTGATCCTTTACTTGCTTCCTTTTTCTAACAACACTTTCTTATATTACCTTAACTATATCCATTATTTTAAATGACTACCTATGGACATTTCTACTTGGATATCCAATAGGCATCTCAAATTTAACATGTTCAAGATGGAATTCTTCTAAACCCCCCACCTCCCTCACAGCAACTAGATGGATGGTATTTGCTCAAACCAAAACCTAAGAGACATGCTTGATTTGTTTCTTTTTTCTAATCCCTCCCATCCAATTTATCAGTAGCATACTTTTCTACTTCTTTCCATTTCTATCGCCACCTCTCTAGTTCCAAGCTACAAGATACTTTCAGAAAATGGTGAGTAAACTAGTCTAGCTGGATTGGAAAGTTATTATTGATGAATAGTGGGAGAAAAATCTAGGGAAAGCAGTTTGGGACATGTTTTGAAGGTCTTCAAATGACAGAATCCTCATTTACAAAGGGGAGCAGACGAAGTTAACCCTCCTAAGCATAATTCTCTTGAAAAGTGGTACTTTTTCAATAACTTAAAATATATTGGCATAACAGTTGTTAATATAATAAAAGGATGCTAGTTAAAGGCATATGAAAGGAATACAAGGAGACAGGTGGAAAAGTTAGTCAAATGATGGTATCTTTAAAAAGTACTTTCTTCCTGTTGTTCAATCAACACAGCAGGCCCTAACCCAGACTCTTTTGATGTTGAAATCTGGCTCTGCCTCGGTGACACTCTGGAGTGTTGAACTTTATTCTGCAGGAAATGGGGTGAGTTGAAAAGCTTTTGAGCAGAAGAGTGACATGGTTAAAACTGTACTATACTATGGGAATAATGGCCTGACAATGATGTGTAGGACTAATGTGAAAATGTAGAAAGAGTAATTAGGTTATTACAATAGAACAGACATGAAATTATAAGGGAGTGCAAAAAATGAGATTGATGCAGTGAGGAGGAAGATTGGAAAGAGTACAAGAAATAAAAACAAGAATCAAATGGTTTTATTCAAGGATTCTCATCTATGATGACAAGAGAATTATGGTGTCATTATGATGACTAAGTACATTAGGAAGGGAGGCTATTTTGTGGAGAAAAATACAATGTGTTCTGCCTACAAGTTCTGAACTGACAGCTGTAAATAATAGTTATGTATGGCTGTACTTGGCATAATTCTCTGAGTCATTCACCATCATAGAAAATAATTTTGCAACCTTGGTTCTAGGTTTACACTTCCAAGGTTATTTACCTGATTCCAATATATTAAGTACATATTTGCTATATTATATGCATAACTGATACTGCTTCAGTTTTACCTACCACTGATTTCCTCTACTGCCAATTCATCAGAAGTAACTTCCTTTTAGAGATGTGCTACTTCTTCATGTTGTTTTTTTCCCTAGATATTTGCAAGTTATCTTTGTAATGCTTTCTAAAGATATATCCTACTCCCTTCTCAACTAAAAATCCCTTGAGGATCTAAACATTTTTGTTTACTAACAGTACTTAGCATAGTGCCTTGTTCACTGTAGGCTCTCAAAAAAGATTTGTTAAAAGGTTAAATAGCCCTAACCGGTTTGGCTCAGTGGATAGAGCGTCGGCCTGCGGACTCAAGGGTCCCAGGTTCGATTCTGGTCAAGGCCATGTACCTTGGTTGCAGGCACACACCCAGTAGGGAGTGTGCAGGAGGCAGCTGATTGATGTTTCTCTCTCATCGATGTTTCTAACTCTCTATCCCTCTCCCTTCCTCTCTGTAAAATATCAATAAGATATATTAAAAAAATAAAAGGTAAGAAAACAATGCAAAATATACAGCATAACATAGTTTAAAGATCAAAGTCCATGTTCCCTCAAATTCTTTTCTATTTATATACAAAAATATATACACAAGAAAAAGTGCCCTTTCAACTTACTTAAAACATTTCACCTCTCCCCCTATGGTCTCTTAGCAGCTCCTTGATAAGGATGGGAGAATGCTAGAACTGGAGTATATTAATAGTAATTCTGAATGTCTAAGAAGGGATATAGTACATTCACCCAAGGTTCTCAGATTTATTTAACTACAGAATTCTTTATTCAAGTAATGAGAGTTCAAAGACCTGGTAATTTTTTAAACACTATTTTGGAAATACTAGCTTAGCTTATTTTAATCACTTCAGACAACCCAGAATTGTAATGTTTTTGTAAATTCACACACACACCACACACACATATCATGTCTGAGATGACATCAATATTTAAAACAAGCGTCTCTAAGTGAATTACTATATTATCTAGGAAAGCAAGAAAAAGTAATTGTGTTCCTCTGACCTCTGTACTTGAGATATCTCCTTATACTTTTATTGAATAATGTGTGTCCTGACTGGGAATCGAACCATGACCTCCTGGTTCATAGGTCAACGTTCAACCACTGAGCCATGCCGGCTGGGCAATAGACGGTTCTTTACAGTTCTATCAACTTTTGGAAATTTCTTCCTCTGTAATAGTTTTGGAAATAAATGGGTCTCCTGAAAGGCTGGTGGTAAAATTTATTTGGGTGGAAATAGAAGGCTGCCCCTGGGTTTCCAATGTCCCATCTCCGTTCCTCCTGCCATGGGAAAAGTCCAAATTTGTCTTCATCAAGGCCAAAACAAAGGCCAGTGTCCAGAGTTCTGTTTCATATTAAAGCTTAGTCCTTTGGAGCCCATGCAGTTTGCTACAGGCCCCAGGTGGGACTGCTAAACCCACATGGTTACTACGGGGAGTAACAAATGGGGCCAGCGCAGGTCACTGAGAGAAAGAACTCTGCTCCCTGGGGTTATATTATCTCAGTCTTGGACCAGGAGCTTTTCTGAAATAACCAATCAACTTCCCAAACTTTCTCGAGCTTCTGATGGGTCCACCTCCCAACCAATCCTTTCTTTCTTTCCCCAGGTTAGATTGGCAGGCTATGGTTGCTATTTTGGCTCCTACTATGCATGCCTCATAGAAGCGCCTTCCCCTGGGCCATTTGGACTTCGACTGCACATGTGCTTACCTCCCTCTTTAGTGTTTTATCTCTTCCTCCAGTGATCTGTGGGGAACAGACCGGTGGTTCCCTGAGGGTGGGTGGTGGTGGTGTGAAGCTACAACTTCCTGGTGAAGTAAGCTGGGTCATGCTTCCCATTTGATCATGCTTAATAATGTCTGCTTCCCTTTGCTTCCTTAATATCTAGCTACCTACGCTAACAGCTGTAAACAATAATATAAACACTCAAGTAGGTGCTGCATAGTGCTTACTTACACCTCATGGTTCTTTAATATCTTCAGATATAGCCTTCTGGAACAGATCTATTTTTTAAAATGAACTTGGCATTTTGTTATTATAAAAATCTTTGCTGTCATCTTTGTTTTGCATAGCTTAGTGTTATAAAGACACCACTCTAATAATACTAGTTGCTCAACATTTTAAGATGATCATTAAGGCCTATGAGACTTAATATGAAAAATCTGAAGAAACCATAGAAGATATCTAAAAAAAACATGACGCTAAAAGCCTTTTCTATCCTGGCACTCTTGTTGCTCAAATGTGGCCGAAGGCTGCTAAAAAACCACTTTCCCTCCTATATAATATGCCAGGAATGAGCCTCCCCAGCTGTGAGGGACTAACAATGGGATGACAACAAAATGAGCCACCTGACAATGGAGGATGAAGGATGCATTCATAACTGATCAGTACTGCTTTCCAATAATTGATCAGCAATGCTTTCAAGAAAAAAATCTTGAAAAGCGGGAAAATGTAAACGATAATATAAACAGAGCCACTTTAATATGGAGCTGCTCTGCCAGAAAAACTGCCTCAAATCTTTGGAATGATAAAATAGGGCAAAAGAACCTTTAGACTGGGATTAGGCAAACATTGTGTCCCAAAGAATTCTTTACAAAGATAACAAGAAAGCAGTTCTTATGACTAATGGACTGACCACCAAACTCCAAATTAAATTTAAAACAGTTTAAAATTAATATCATTATCTGCACCAGTAGAAACGCCTTCCTTCTATTAATGTAATCGTCCTCCTTCTCATGAATACTCACTGCTTTGTCTCCTAACTGAAACACTATTTGGGCTTCTACCTGAATCAGTGCATCCCAAATGCTCATTTTTACTGATTTTAAAGAAATACTTGTTACCTCTCACTTTGAAAGGCTTTTTACTTTTAATTTAATTGAGAGAGAGAGAGAGAGAGAGAGAGAGAGAGAGAGAGAGAAACATTGATGCAAGAAACATGGATCGGCTGCTTCCCACACACCCGAGTGGGAATCGAACCTGTAACCTAAATATGTACCCCAACTGGGAATCAAACCCACAGCCTTCTT